GTATTTCACAACTGAGACATTCCCTCCCCCTACCCCCTTCCCGAACAACTTGGCCAAGAACTGAATTGGTCCAGATGGGAGACGTTTGAGAACCGAGGTTTGACTGTACAGGATTTCAGTTTGGGGTGATCAAAAAAGTTCTGGAGATGGATGGTGGTGATGGTTACACCACAGTGTGAACATATTTAATGTCACTGAACAGTATACTTGAAAATGGTTAAAATGGTAAATTTGATGTTATGCATATTTAACCACGATTTTAAAACTTTAGAAAAGAAAAGGGAATGGGTGCATGCTACAACAGGAAGCTTGAAAACATTCTGCTAAGTGAATGAAGCCAGACACAAAAGGTCACATGCAGTGCACGTGTGCAGCCATATACACTGGTGGCAGTACCAATGGCATGGGCTTGCTGGGAAGATTACATGGTAATGGGAGTGCATGTAGAAGGGCTTAGGACACTGCCTGGTGGGCACCAAGGGTTCCGTCAGTGCCAGCTAATTAGTGGGAGTAACCATCCCACCGCCCTCCTTTTGTGTAAGGCAGTGCTCCACATGGGAATCACCTGGTCCAAGCATGTCAAACCAACCGGCCGCGAGTTTGACATGCTTGAGTCTCTTGTTGAATGAAGCTTCTGATTCAGGAGTTTGGGGGGTGGGGAGGGGGCTGAGAGTCTGCGTTTTAATGAGTCCCCAGGAGATGTCAGTGCTGCTGGTCCAGTGACCAACCCCAGGGGAGAGAGGGAAGCTGTCGCAGGCTGTGTGTTTCCCAGGCAGCAGTAACAAAGCACCACAAACTAGGTGACTTAAAACAACAGAACTTGCTCTCACAGTCTGGAGGCCAGCAGTCCCAAATGACGTGTCAGTAGGGTTGGTTCCTTCTAAGGGCTGTGAGGGACCCTCTGTCCCAGGCCTCCCTCCTGACTTCCGATGACAGCTGGCACCCTTGCAGTCCACGGCTTGTAGCCGCATCATTCTGATCTCTGCCCCCATCGTCCAATGGCCTTCTCCACCCACCTGTCTTCTCATGGCTGTCTTTTTATAAGGATGTCAGCCATATCGGATTAGGGGCCCACCCTACTGCAGGATGACCTCATCCTAACTAATTATATCTGCCAAGACCCTGTTCCAAGTAAGGTCACATTTCAAGGTACTGGAGGCTAGGGCTTCAACATGCCTTTGGGGGAAGATGACCCTGAGGAAGGGACATCTTTTCTAGTCGCAGGAAGTACAGACTAGTGGCTGCTCTGATAGCGAATCAGCACCAGAACCTGTCAACCCATAACACCTGCCTGGGGACAAAGGCACCCAATGGAAAGAAGTGAGCTAAGAGGGGGACGGAGCGCTGCTCTGCAGAGGGCAGGGTGCTGGGAGAGGGGCAGTGAACTGCCCCAGGGTTGGCGCAGAGGCTGTGCTGCTGGCATCAGGCGCATGCGTATAGGCCAGCTGCGGGTTCTGGAGAGAACCAACTCCCTGAGGAAGAGTCATCTTTTCTGGGTCGCAGAAAAGTATGAGCTCACAGCGGCTTTAATGGCAGAATCAGCACCAGAACCGAAGTCTTCACTCAGTCTCAGCCCAGAGTTTCCCGCAGATCAAGTTGGTGACAACAGTGACTCCGAAAAATACAAAGGGATGATCATCAGCCCTGCTTGATGCACTTCCTAGCCCTGCAGCCTGAGGGCTGATGCAGATGAGCCCCGGCTGGGGCTTCTAAACTCCATTCTCCAAAGGAGCCAGGGTTCCTTGGAGAAAAGGCGATGCCAGGGGCAGGTGGAGAGATGCATACGAGGAGGCTGGGCCCTCGACACACCCAGGTAGCAAGGAAGCTGTCAGAGACACCAGAGTCGGGTCAGAAAGACTCAGGAGCCAACAGGAAGGGGCTCCCACTGGCCAGAGGTGCGACAATTTAAGCAGCAATAATAATGTCTTATCCATGAGTCACGTGATTCTTTTTTAAATATATTGATTTCAGAGAGGAAGGGAGAGAGAAACATCAATGATGAGAGAGAATCATTGATTGGCTGCCTCCTGCACACCCCACACTGGGGATTGAGTCAGGAACCCCGGCATGTGCCCTGACCAGGAATCGAACCGTGACCTCCTGGTTCATAGGTCGACGTTCAACGACTGAGCCAGGCTGGCCGGGCAGTCATGTGATTCTTAAACTAAACCCTCAGTGGTCAGCTGTAGGGGATGTTGGGGAATGATCTCATTACTTGAACAAAAATGAAGGATAAGAATCAAGTATCTATTATGCTATTTTTCTATGAAGTATGCCTTGTAATGACTATATATTTGAAGAGGGAGGGTTTCTCTTTCTAGATTTCTTCGGCTCACGGATGAAGACAGAATGATAGAATTAGAATGCCCCCATGATGCACCCCCCCAATGTTAAAGAGTAGCAGCTGAGGACACCCAGGCATTAGGAGCTCCCTGATGGAAGAACACACTAGAACCATCCAGCCCAGCTGCTCCCAGACCCTGACCTTTAGGCTCAGTGGAGGTAAGAAATATTTTTTATCTGAAGCCACTAAGTTTGGGGGGAATTTGTTATGCAGCAATAGCTAACTACTATAGGCTCTAATGCTGAGGACTTTTAACTGTGTAAAACCCACATTCTATTTAGTCAGGTGATTCCCAAGGGTGGGAAGGACAAGGAGATTGGGTTCCTCTAAGAATCAGGGTGGTAAAATGAAGAATCCCAGGCTTCCTTAAAGCTGGGGGTGGGAGGAGAGCATGAGGCCAGCTGCAGTTACACTCACCTCTTTTAAACAGGAGACTTGGGGTTACTAACTGAGGGAGAGAAAGAGAGCAGAGCAGCCAAGGACTGACTTTCCAGAAGGCCGGAGAGGAAGTCAGCTGGCAGGAAGGTACGCAGAGCAGGTGACACCCTGGAGAGGCTGAAGGAGGTAAGGGACCTGGGTTCCTGCTCGTTTTCACCCCTGTTGTGAGTAGGGTGCTGTTTGTTTGCACTGGAAGTAAAAAGTAGAATTCACCCATTTATGTGCTTTTGTTTCTGAAGAGCTGCTAGAGTCTGCTAGAAAGTGGGCAGGATTTGAAAGCATCAAATATTAGCTCTCGTGTGAGCTTGGATCTGTTACTTGGCTCTTGGGAGCTTCCATTTCCTCATTTGCAAAATGGAGAGAATCCTGCCTTAAATTTCATTTTTTTTTTTTTTTTTTTTTACCATTTTAATATTTTGGGAATCAGGATACATCCACTAATGCAGCGGTTCTCAACCTGTGGGTCACGACCCCTTTGGGAGTCGAATGACCCTTTCACAGGGGTCGCCTAAGACCATCGGAAAATACATATATAATTACATATTGTTTTTGTGATTAATCACTATGCTTTAATTATGTTCAATTTGTAACAATGAAAATACATCCTGCATATTAGATATTTACATTACGATTCATAACAGTAGCCAAATTACAGTTCTGAAGTAGCAACGAAAATAATTTTATGGTTGGGGGTCACCACAACATGAGGAACTGTATTAAAGGGTCGCGGCATTAGGAAGGTTGAGAACCACTGCACTAATGGTTGCAAATATTAATAAGGTATTTATTTTCTACCTCCCAAAGCTATAACTGAACCAGTGCACTTTAAAATGATAGCACCTTAGGGACAAAGAGCCCAACTTACAAATTATTTAATGGGAGAACTGAGTGAACTCATATTAATTCATTCATCAAATACTGATCACTACCGCAGCCTGGGCTGTGGGGCCCCATCAAACTGGTATCTTCATTTTTCATAACAGTCTGTGACATTTTAAAAAACAATTGTGCTTTCTGGTAACAAAAGGATGTTCCAAATCCAGCCGACTGGTTTCTGCCTCAAAACTTGGAACTGACTCTCTCAGGCGTCGTGGATTCTTCAGGTGGTAAAGAGAATCAAAGACGAAAATCCAGTTCAGTTGGTTAGGTGACATCCCATGCATCAAAAGGTTGCTAGTTTGATTCCTGGTCAGGGCATATGCCCAGGTTTCAGGCTCGACCCCCAGTAGGGGGTGTGCAAGAGGCAGCTGAACAATGTTTCGCTCTCACGTTGGTGTCTCTCTCCCTCTCCCTCTTTCTCTCTCTCTCTCTCTAAAAAATAAAAATAAATAAATAAATAAAAGACCAAAACCTGGGGGCTGAGATGCAGATAAGAAGTAGTGGAGGGCAAAAAAAAAAAAAATAAAAGTGCCATTTCTGGGCTACCTTTTGAGTGACAGATCTGGGAAACAAATGTTCTTTTGGAACAGAACGTCATTTCTACAGTGTTTCTGCCCCAAATCATGACTGGGATCCAATCATGAGAAACATCAGACAGACCCAAGTTCAGGTACATGCCTCAAAATAGCTGGCCGCCACTCTTCAGAAACTGTTCATGTCGTGAAAGATAAAGAAAGGCTGGTAACTGCTCCAGATTGACTAATGGGCAATGGGCAAGCCTGGATTGGATCTTGAACTGGGGGAAAGGACACTGGACTATGAATTCTAGATTAGATATGTTTCTCAGTTTCCATCATACTCTGCTTATATAAGAGAATGCCTTGTTCTTGTAATAGTGAAATATTTAGGGGTCGGGAAGCATGGTATGTGCAACTTACTCTTAAACACTTCAGAAAACAAATACACACACATACACCAAAGTGTTAGTTAACACGTGTCAGTTCTTTGTACTGTTCTTGCTATTTTCTGGTAAGTCTGAAATTATTTCAAAGAAAAGAGGTGTTTTTTTAAGACTTTACAAAGACATTAATTCAAAATATTATTTTCCAACTTTACATATTTTGTTGCTGTATTTTTCAGTTCTTTCATCTGGGGTTCCATTAGCCACCAACACTCCCATCGCACTGAAAGCAGAACATTTTATAATTGCCGTGCACGCGTACTTATTGTTTGCAGATGACTCTGGTAGTCAAAACAATGACTACCACGGAAATTGAAACTGTAGTTGAAAGTGTCTAAGGATATAGAACTGAATTTGTAATCAACACATGAATGTCTTCAGTTGATTTTCAAAATCGTTTAAGAAGTATGCAATTTTAATGAATCGAGCTTAAAGCAGCAGCACTACATTAAAAAAAAAACCCTAATATTTAACCAGGCACATGCTAGGTCCAAGTGCAGTGAACAAATGGACCCAGTCCTGCCCTCACGGACATCACCAGTCTCTGGGGGAAGAAGGGGCAGAGAAGCAAACAGGCAATTTCAACTCAGTGTGAAAGTGTCACTAATGGGGTAAGAAGAGTCACCATCAGAATTTTCAACAACTCACACAGCATGGCCACTGTCCAATCAGAATGGTGGTGCAGCGTCCCACCAGCTGTCCATACTGTTCCAGGTACTGTTCCAGGTGCCAACCCTTTAGTATGGGAGTCAGGCAGAGCACCTACATGGTTCATGGTCATTTCCTGACATTTTAAGAAAACCCAAGATGTGGACACAAAAGTCAGTCATCAGGCCTGGGGTCAGACACGGGGCTGCAGGGGCTGAGAGAAGGGGCACATGGCTCAGGATAGGGGGTGCTTCTTAGCATTGATGAGGATTAAGATCCAAAGGATATGGGATTCCTTCGGGAGGGGGTGATTAAAATATTCTGGAATTGGACAGTGACGATGGTTGCATAACCTTTTGAATGTACTAAAAACCACTGAGTTGTACACTTCAAAGGGGTGACTTTTTTAAAAAATATATATTTTATTGATTTTTTACAGAGAAGAAGGAAGAGGGGTAGAGAGCTAGAAACATCGATCAGCTGCCTCCTGCACATCCCCCACTGGGGATGTGCCCATAACTAAGGTACATGCCCTTGACCAGAATCGAACCTGGGACCCTTCAGTCCACAGGCCGACACTCTATCCACTGAGCCAAACCAGCTAGGGCAAAGGGGTGACTTTTATGGTGTGTGGATTATATGTTAATTAAAAACATAAAGTTTTAAAGACATTTTAAGATCTAAGGGACAAATTTAGGCAGCAGAGAGCAAACGGTATACAAAGACTGGGGGATGAGCAGGAACATGGGGGCTCAGGGTAAGTAGCTTCCGATGGCCAGGCACAGCCTGACCCCTGAGGTCGGGCCCTCGCAGACAGACCCCTCCATCCCTTGGCCACAGCTTCTGGAGGTCTGGGGAGGAAACCACGGCATTAGAGAGGAATTCCAACTCAAAGCCCCTCGCACCCCTTGGAAGTGTAGAGATGCTATCGATGGAGTAATATTTGCTCCTCACTGTCCTCAAGAGGTGGTGGTGGGGGCCTGAAAACTCAGGTGCTTACAGGGCCAACCTGAGCTGGTAAATAAGTCAACTGGGTGGGTGAGGGCTGGGGCTCACCCAGAAGGAGCAGGCCTCACAACTCAACTCAGCCCATCCTCTCAACTCTAACGGCTTCTCAAAAGAAGTCAGCAATCCAGATTTTTAAAATTATTTAATTGCATACTACTAAGTGGAAGAAGCCAGTCTGCAAAGGCTATATACTATATGATTCCAAATATATGGCATGCTGGAAAAGGCAAAACGAAGGAGACAATGGATCAGTAGTTGCCGGGGGTTGGGGGGTTGGGGGGGGGGAGTGAATAGATGGAGCACAGAGGATTCGGGGAGGAGGGAGGGAGGCACAATGGAAATAGTTTTTATGACACTGTAATGGTAGGTGCATATCATTATGTTTGTCCAAACTCATAGAATGCACACCACCAAGGGTGAACCCTAATGTAAACTATGGGCTTTGGTTGATTATGATGTGTCAATGTAGATTCATCAATTGTAGCAAATGTTTCATCTGGTGCAGATGTTGATAATGGGGGAGGCTATGTGTGGGAAGAGGCAGGAAGGTATATGGGAAATCTCTGTTCTTTCACCTTAATTTTGCTGTGAACCCAAAACTACTTAAAAAAGAAAGTTTAGAAAATAAAAATAATACAACAAAAAAATTTATTGAGGTGATATTCACACCACATAAATTAACCATTTTAAAGTGAACAATTCAGTGGCATTTAGTACTTCACAATGTTGTTCTAAAACATTTCCATCAGTCCAGAGTAAAACCCCACACGCAGCTGAACTTTCTCCCCATTCTTCCCTCTGCAGCCCCTGAAAACCACCAGTCTGCCCTTCTGTCTTTGTGCTGAGTCAGATTTCAAATGTGACCCATTCCAATTTTTAGATTTAAATTCACATTCATTTAAAATACTTCCCTGGACTAAAAGTATCTCTGAGGCTTAGAGTCAGTCAGCTGACTGTCCTTTTGCAGTTTCTATTCTAAAGTATTTTAAAATTCAGGGGACAGATACATCTGTATTGAGATGCAGGGAAATATTAACGTATTTGTGGCTATTTCTGAGTCATTCTGGAAGCCTCCTTGCTCCTGTGATGAGTGAGGAGTGAGTCATTGGCCATAGAACCCTCCCGGCTGAGCCCCTGTGAGCATTTCCTTGGGGTGGGCAAAGGGCCAGCCCTGGGCTTTTCCCCTTGGATTCTAACCCGTATTCATTGAGCTGGTCTTTACTAAGTGTGAGCATTCCTTATTTATGCAGAAATAACAGCCTGGAAAAATGTTCCAAGCCCCTGGGAGCACAGCAGGATCTCACAGCAGGAGCCTTTCACACTCAACACCCGCTGAGTCAGCATGTTCCCTTAGAGAACCTCAAGTCCCGGCCCTTCCTTTGTTTGAGTTCCCTGGGGATGCTGATGAAGGTGAGACTTTCTGGGAATGCAGACCTGAGACCTGCATCTGGGACCCTGCCTTCCACCACCTCTCTCCAACCTCAGAAGCCCCAGACCGGCCCCTGGAAGAATCTGGACAAAGGTCAGCATGAACCGAGTTCCCTTGGGCATCCCTGGGACACAACCAGTCCCACCCACCAGCATCTTTCACGCTTCATGGGCCTCCTAGCGGACCTCACTGCTTCCTTTCTTGCCCGACAGGCCACATGGCAGTCACAGGCAGCTTTCTCAAGTGTCAATCAGATCTGACCATCCCCTGCTCGTCTACAAAGATTGTCTGTCAAAAGCAGGCAAAATTCCAAACCCCCCAGGGGAATCCTCAAAGCCCTCCACATCCCTTCTCCTAACACACCTCCAACTGTGTCTCTTCCTCCCACTCTCCCACTGGCCTGATTCCCACTATCCCTGGAATATACCTCACCCCAGGGCCTTTGCACTTGCTATTTCCTCTGCCAGAACGCTCTTCCTGTGGATTTTTTCCATGCCTGGCCCCTCCAAATGCACCTCCTCAGGCCTCCTCTGAGCCCTCCATTACCTAAAGAAGCCCCCTGGCCCAGGACCCCTTTTTCTCGCATTCCTCTTCATGGTACTTACCACTCTTTGATGTTACTTTGTTTAGATATTTACTTACTAGAGGCCTGATGCATGAAAATTTGTGCAAGAGTAGGCCTTCCTTCCCCCCAGCTGCCGGCACCCGCTTCCCTCCAGCACCTGGGACCTGGGCGGCTTCCCTCCGGCCCAGGCTTTGTCCAGGACATTCGGAAGGACGTCCAGTCTAATTAGCATATTACCCTTTTATTATTATAGATATGTTCACTGTCTTACCCCTAATCAAAATGTCAGCTCCAGGGGGCAGGGGCCTCTGTGTCCCCTAGAACTGTGTTTGACACACAAAGGTCTTTGAACATTTTTGTTGATTCAATGAGTAAATGGGTGGGAAAAAGAACAAACCAGTGGTTCTCAAAAGGCAGCTGATTTGGGGCCTCCCCAGCAATGTTTGGAAACACTTTTGTTTGTCACAACTTCGAGGCTGCCACTAACATCTAGTGGGTGGAGGCAGGGGTGCTGCTAAACATCTTACAGGGCACAGGGCGGCCCTTGCAACAACGGATGTTCAGTCCCAAACACCAGTAGCATCAACACTGGAGTAAATGAATGAATGAGTTAAATCTTTCAGTCAAGCTGTCCCATATCTAACATCAAAGACTTGACCAATGTCCCCTTCTGATCACCAACTTCCTTAATTGTGTAAGTCACAGTTCACCAGAAATCTCTCTTCAGTGATTTGATTGTTGGGACAGCATTCAATTTCATGTTAACAAGAAATATAAGTAAGAGGAAGCTAAGCAGCTGTAAATATAAGGAGTTAATTTCAAAATGTGTAATTCCGTGCCCTAATCAAAGAGAACTGAAATTTCTAGTTCCTTGATTTTATGGGTTCTTTTCCTTGGTAACCATAGACCTTCCTTAAAACTAAATAATCAGCTCTTGGTGAGACCTGCTTATGTGTCATATTTCTATATTTTTAAAGTAGATTTTTAGAGTGGGAGAGGGGCAGGATGACTTGTTCCCCAAAGTCAATGGGAACAGAGGGACCCCAGAGGGCAAGGGGTCCTCACTTATTGAGGCAAACAGACTTCCTGGAATCACAACGAAGAACAACCAAAATCCTCTCTTCAGTGTGTTGGAGCATGATGTCTGTATGTGTGCCTGTGTGTATGTGTGCCTGTGTGTGTGCCTGTGTGTGTGTCTGCGTGTGTCTGTGTCTGTGTGCCTATGTTGATTTCTGAGAATGATGGGCAGCCACTAATGTAACATCTGTACCATAACCTGTCCCCTCTCCTTCCTTGCCCCCCACCCCAGCGGCTTCCCTCGGTCAGTGTCAAACACAGAGGTGTCAGGAATGCAAGGAGTTCCTTTAAATACAAATTTAACTTATCCAAATCCACACCCTAGAGAAAGAGATAATAACCTAAGTCAGGGTTCTCAACCAGGGTCACTTTGCCCCTAGAAAAAATATACCTTACCTCACAACTCTGGAAAGAGGGGAGCAGTGCTGCTGGCACTTAGTGGGTAGAGACCAGGGATCCTGTGAAGCCCTGCAGGGCACAGGATGGCCCCACACAGAGAATTACTCAGCCCCAAATATAAGCAGAGCCAAGGCTTAGAAAGCCTGTTCTAAAAGGGGACGGGGGTGAGGCATAAGACTGAAGCCCTGGAAATGCTGCTCCCACTGCAGAGCTCATCCCTGTGTTGCTCCTAAGCACAGTGTAATATAAGGTCAGACTCTACAGCAAGCATGTCAAACTTGCGGCCTGCGGGCCACAAGCGGCCCACAACGAATATTTTTGCGGCCCATCAATATAACAGTATGCAAGAAACGTTTTAATAAAAATTCATAACTTAATTTTTACAATATCCTGTTATACATAATTACTAATAACAAACTACAACGCTCGCTAATTTACTATAATTGTGTTGCATTCATTTCTCTTACATACGCACAGGTGCACCATTTCTCTCCACTAATACTAGCAGCAAATATTTTAGCAGCTGATTGCCACATCATTAATCTTGGACTGACTTGTTTGGTGTGCGTAACAGGAAATATTTCACTTTCAGAGAACAAGAAAAACAGGTTTATTTGCATTTCCCTCATTAATTTGTGCAGTTATTCAGTGTCTGGTAAGTTAATGTTCAAGAAAAAATATTAATTTTTATTAAAATATTCTATTATTTTATGTTAACATTACTCATTTATTTCAACCCTTTGTGTTCAACATGTCTCTATCGAAATAAACCTACATTTCTTTGGTTTATTTGAAATTTGAAAATTGAAGCTTTTGTTTTTTTTGTGGCCCACAGAAACTTAAACCTTGTTTATTTGGCCCGTGTTCACCTTTGAGTTTGACATGCTTGCTGAGAGCCTAACTCCCCACCCTGCCACTTAACAGCTGTGTGACATTTGGCAAGTCACTCAACTCTTTCCCTCAATTTCTTTCATCCTGAAACCAATAAAAATCAGAGTGTCTACCTCATAGGTTTGTAATACAGATTAAATGAATTTTAATAAGCAAAACACCTAGAATAGTGCCTGCATATAAGTGCTAGGAAAGTGTTTGCTATTACTGTTTTTCATTCAAAATAACTTCCCCTAAAACACAGCCAACAATTTCCTCTGCAGCTCATTTTGAGGAACAGCTTTTATATCCAACGTGGGAAGCTAAATTGACATGAAAGACTACTTGAAAGACAAAATGTCATTCTACTTGAGACACTGGTTAGGGATTTGCAAAGGTAGTTTTGATTTCATGTAGGTCTTGCGTGGGGACCTGGTCCCCACTAACATGTGACTCCCCATGGCGTTCTTCTCATTGGATGCCCCCTGGGCTGAGTGAGGACCAAGCACGAAATGCTGACCCAACCAACCCTAACAATTCCCACCCAAATCAGGTCCAAGGAACCCGTCTGAGGCCAGAGGAGACCATCCTGCTTTGGGTGGGAATCCATTGAAATCCATGACCTTTGGGTCTAAATCAGCGGTTCTCAACCTGTGGGTCAAGAACCTTTGGGGGTCGAATGACCCTTTCACAGAGGTCGCCTAAATACATCCTGCATATCAGATATTTACATTAAGATTCATAACAGTAGCAAAATTACAGTTATGAAGTAGCAACGAAAATAATTTTATGGTTGGGGGTCACCACAACATGAGGAACTGTATTAAAGGGTCGCGGCGTTAGGAAGGTTGAGAACCACTGGTCTAAATGAATTTGTGAAGCCAGTGCCTTCAAAGCATAAACAAACTTTCCACAGGAGGGACAGTCTCCCGCTCCAAGGACAACCCCAGCTCGACGTCCTGCTCCAGCCGAGGACGTGCCTCTGCCCCAAGGACACAGAAGTCCCACTTGGGGTCAGATAACAGGTACCATTTATGGAGCCCACATGAGGTGTCAGGGCTCCCATGGGTCTTGTTACATAAGTTTGTCACTTGATTTAGTCCTCTTTACACAACCCTACGATGGGACTAATGTCTTCCTCATTTTACAAATGAGAAAATGGGGATCCGGAAGGTGCCCTGACTTGTTCAAGGTCACTGTAAACAAAGGGTAAGCACCAGGCTTGCCTGGGAGTGACCTACGTGGAACAGCCCCTGGGTTGGAGAAGCTGAGCTGGCAGGCAGGTAGCCGTCTCGGTGAACAGAGTCATAGAAAGGTTTGCAGGAAACAGAGGTTGAAGCTTCTAGGCTTCAGGGTGACCCACAACACCCTGGCCTTGGCCTCTGGCGGCCCGACCTGGCCCATGTAGGTGACAGACACCAGGAATGTGTGTGGGGTGGGGGCTGGGTCTCCCAAGGAGATGAAGATGCCGTGTCACGGCCTTGTATCCTTCTTTCGTTCCAGCTAGGATTCTGATCATGCCACTGCCCTGTACGAATTCCACCTCTAGAACTGCACTGTGCAATAGGGTAGCCGCTGGGGCTATTTAATGCCGGAGGCTAAAGCAAACAGCAGTTAGCATATTAAAGCTAAAAGACCCGGTTGGAAGGCCCTTGGTTACACCAGCCACAGATCAAGTGTCAGCAGCCACATGTGTCTGGTGGCTACCATATTTGACAGCACAGATATAGCAGATTCCCATTCTAACAGACATCACACATCCATAAGTATAAGCCCTTCAGGGTGTGGGCCCCAGTCTCTGCCCAGACTGCTCCCCAGTAAACCACTCTCAGCTCCCTAAACTCATCTTAACTCTAAGCCTGTGCTTGTGACACCCCATCTTTTTCCCTGCTTTAGCTAATTACCCCCACCCCCACCCCCATTCCTCAGGTCTCAGCTCAGCTGTCGCTTCTTCCCCTGCCCAGGACAAGTGCCCAAGCATGAAACACTGTCGTAGCAGCCACGGGCATACCTGCACCCTATACTCCACACAACTGGTTTTCAACGAGGGCAAGTTTGCCTCTGGGGGGACATTTGGCAGTGTCTGGAGACATTATTGGTGGGTGCTTCTGGCATCTGGTGAGTAGAAGCAAGAGATGCTGCTAAACATCCTGCAATACCCGGGACGGTCCCTATAGCAAGAAGTGCCTGGCCCAGAATGTTGGCAGTGTCGAGGCTGACCATCTCTGCTCTCGACTGGGCAACTCCATAAAGGCAGGGGGAGGTGTCGTTATACCACATAGTCCCAGTCAACAGCCCCGAGCTGGCATACAGGAGGTGCTCAATAAACACTGAGCTCAGATGCTGTATAAGATTCTTGCCCCAGGATCCCAGTTCTTTCACAATGTCTTTCTCTGAGCATTATGGTCGGCTGAATAATGCCCCCCAAAACATGCAGGTCCTACTCCCCGGAACCTGTGAGGGTTACCACATATGGCGGAAGGGACTTTGCAGATGTGATTAAGTTGGTTGAGATGGGAAAGTTATCCCAGATCATTCAGCTGGCCCTTAAATGCACTACAAGTAACCCTATAAGAGGAAGGCAAAGGGAGACTTGACACAGAGGAAAAAGGTAATGTGAGAATGGGGCAGAGAATATTTGAAGATGCTACACTGCTGGCCTCGAGGATGGAAGAAGGGGCCCCAAGCCGGCAGCCACCAGATCCGGAAAAGAGGAAGGACAGATTTCCCCCCTAGGCCTTCAGAGCGAGTGTGGCCCTGCGGACACACTGGTTTCAGCCCGTGAAACTGATCTTGGACTTCTGGCCTCCAGAACTGTCAGAGAATACATTTCTGTTGTTTTAAGCCAACGAGTTTATGGTGATTTGTTACAGTGGCCCTGGGAAACTAATACTGTCCTATTTCATTCTGAGGTTTCTTGGATTTGGATCAGAGAACGTAAAAGGAATGGCATGTAGGTGCCAGGTCCCCACGCCTGCTGGCTCTGATGGCCCGGAGGAGAGATGGGGCACAGGTGAGTGAGTGCGGCTGAGCTTTGGGTGTTTCTAATGTGGCAGCTGCTGGGTCATCAGCAATCACGTTTATGGGTCATTTTTCACACCTTAGTCCTGCCATTTTCTGTGATGCCGCGCCTCAGGCAGGAAGTGATTTGACCCAGGACTGCCTGGCTGGCTGGCTGGAACTAAAGCAGGGGTTAGAATAGAAATCCAAGCTGCCCACCTCTCCAGCCTCCTGCCAACCCCTTTCTCCTCTCCCATCACCCTCCAGACATAGAAGATTTTCTCTGACCTTCCAACACGGCCTTAGGGTCTTTGTACCTGCTGTTCCTTCCAGTGGAAATCTCCTCATTCAGGTCTCAGCTCAAATGTCACCTCTCCAGAGATGCCCTCCCTGACTGTGCTAAGGCAAGTGGTCTTGCCCAGTCACTTTCTCTTTTTTCAATCACACTGTTGACTTCCTCCCAAATATCTTTGTTTGCCTGTTCAATGTTAGGTCTCCTCCCCCTCCCCCGCCCCCCAACCCTAGACTGCAGGCTCCAAGCCCTTGTCCACTTCTCCAGCCTCCTGCCAGGAGGGCAGGAACTTTGATCTGTCCACGGTGTGTCTTTAGCCCAGTGATGGCGAACCTATGACACACATGTCAGAGGTGACACGCGTGTCAGAGGTGACACGCAAACTCATTTTTTTGGTTGATTTTTCTTTGTTAAATGGCATTTAAATATATAAAATAAATATCAAAAATATAAGTCTTTGTTTTACTATGGTTGCAAATATAAAAAAATTTCTATATGTGACACGGCACCAGAGTTAAGTTAGGGTTTTTCAAAATGCTGACACGCCAAGCTCAAAAGGTTCGCCATCACTGCTCTAGCCCATGCCTGGCACACACTAGGTGCTCAATACATTCTGAATGAATGAATGAGTGAATGAATGAACGTGGAATGAATTTGCAGCTTTGGTGGATGCTTGCCCAAAGCCAGTCCAAACATACCTGATCTTGGCTTTCCGAAAGGCCAACTCCTCTTCGTTGCCAAAGTCCAAGGACACATCCTCAGTGTCGTCCACCAGGGCCTAGGATGGGGGAGGAGATGTGTGTGTGTGTGTGTGTGTGTGTGTGTGTGTGTGTGTGTGTGTGGAGGGGGGCGGGGCGGGCACCAAAGGCGAGTGACAGACCCACTCGTGGTGCAGAGCCCACCCGCATCCTCCCTGCAGACCGGGCCCCTCCCTTTCGGCTGCGACTCAAGCCCGTCTCCACCCTCAAGCCCATTTGGGGTCCAGCCGGGCCCAGGCCCCCCGCCTCGCGCATCCCTCCTCCTCCCCTTGTTTCCCCAGCGCTCCCGCAGGCTCCTCCCATCCTCACCATCATCCTTCCACGCCCAGCATCCCTGCGGCCCTACCTGCTTCATCCTCCCTAGAGCCCACCTGGAGCCCAGTCCCCAGGCTCCTGCTCCGCCTCTCGCCGCGAAAAAGCCGGGATGCCCCTCAGGCCACTGGCCGCAGACCTGGTGGGGTCACAGCCTGCGGCTGCGTTTTTTTTTCGCGGGCTGAGAGGTGGGCTCCCCGCGCGGGATGGGCGGGGCCTGGAGGGCCCCTGGCCCGGGTACTCGCTGGGGAGTGGAGAGATGGGGTGCACACAGAGCGGTGGAAGGGAGGGGGCGATTTGGACTCAGAGGGGGACTTGAGGACCTTGAACAGTGATCCTGGGAGGAACACAGGGGCTGGATCAGTGAATGAGGTAGATGTTCCATAAGTTTCCAATGAGCGAGTGAATGAGTGAATGAGTGAATGAATGAATGTCAGTGTTGGGCAGCCCCACTCAGAGTTTGGAGAAGTTAGTGTTTCCCAAAAGCCTCTGATCCCAAGAATTTCCCAGCCTCCTTAGTAAAAGCAGATTCCCGGGCCTGGCCCTGGAGATGGAGAAGCCTGCAGTGGGGTCCTGGAATCTGCCATTCTCAGCAGACGCTGCTGCAGCCACAGCTTGGGAATCACTGCTGACCACAGTGACAGCTGCATGCATCCGGGTGCCAGACACATACTGAGCACAAAGTAACTACTATTGGCAGTAATAGTGTTTCCAGGTATCTCCCAGGAAGGAAGGCTTGCCACCTGAAAGTCTTTCCTGGCCCAGCTGAGAGTCCAGACGCCAACACCCTAGTCCTGCCCTTCGCCCTCCTGCCACAGGCAATAGGGGCCTGTCCCCCACCCCTGGTGACCCAGAGAAGGGCTGCAGGTACAAGCATCTGACACACTCAACCTCTGCTGCCCCCCTAGTGATCGGCCTGGGATGTGCCAGGAGGAGAGTAGGAAGCAGAGCTGCCTAAGTTCTGATCTCTGGGTAGGTTCCCCTTCATTCCCTAAACTGACCCACAAAAGGCCCTCGGGCATGTGTGGAGGGAGGGTATGTGGGGCTAGATCAGTGGTTCTCAACCTTGGCTGCACATTAGAGTCACCTGGGAACCTTTTTAAAATCCTGATTTCTGGGCCTCATCCTCCGGAAATTCTGTTTCTTTGTTATGGGGTGGGGCCACAACATTAGTAACAAAGAAACAGAATTTCTGGAGGATGAGGCCCAGAAATCAGGATTTTAAAAAGATTCCCAGGTGACTCTAATGTGCAGCCAAGGTTGAGAACCACTGGGCTAGAATGTCGTCTTTAGGGGGAAGGGGGTCTGGGTGGGGCCTAGGTGCTGCAGCTCTAACAAGCTCTCAGGTGATGCTGATGCTGCTGGCCTTTGGACCACCCTTCGCACTGTAATGACTCAACCACCAAAGCCTGGTTTCCTAGAAAGGCTGTGGGCTCTTCTAACCCAAAGCTGGCTCCAGGCACAAAAGGGTGTCATACTGAGAAGCTGGGCCCCAGCTGCCTGGGAGGGAGGAGCTGTGGCAGGCAGGTGGAGGTGAGAAACCGTTGCAGAACATTTAGGGGCTTTTTCTCCTACCCTGAGAATCACCAGCTGTTGGTGTCTGTTGAGTTGGGGCTCAGAGAGTCCCCAACGGGGTGAAGAGGCAGGAAAACCCCCTTGGAAGCCCCCTTTGGGGACCAACTGTCATTCATTGTCAGCCATCGGGTTAGGGGTGCCTCGAGAAACAGCCACAGCTCCCAGCACGTGGAGGTCACCCCACAAGCAGTGGGTCATGCCGTTCTCTCCAACCCCCAACCTGTCCACCTGGGGGCACAGGCTGAGGATGCAGATGGCGGGGCCAAACCTGGGAGGCCCAGTCTTCCCTCCCAGGAGAGAGCACCCTCCCTGCCCACACACCAGGATGGCCCTGGGGTCTCTGCGGAATTTGGGGTGAGGGCCGAGAGCCCGAGGTTCTCCAGGGAATTCATCACTGACTCTGAAACCAGCTGCAGTGGAGTCACCTGAGGCTGCTGGTTAAGAGGCAGATTCCAGCCCCCCTCCCCAGGCTTCGGAATCACCAGGCCCACGCCTGGGAATCTGCTTTTCATGAAGGCCCCGGGGAATTCTTGGGATCAGAGGCTTTTAGGAAATACTGACCTCTCCTCACACTGGTACCACTGAGTATGCGCACTGGGATCCTGACACAAGCCACCCTCTGCTCGTCTTGGCCCAGAAGGGGGTTGGGGAGCAGAGCTGTGAGGAGCAGCTCCATCTCTGAGCCCTGGCCCTGGAGCCAGAACCACTCAGAGGAGGGGCTCCAGGCCTAGGCAGCCACTGGCCTCTGGATGGCCCTTGAAGGTCAACACCTGGAGTTGGGCAGGCCTGGCTGGGAAAGTGGCTTCACCTCTCCCTGGTTGGGTGGCCTGAGGAGGAGATTTCACCTCTCTGCCCCCAGTCTCCACATCTGTGAAATGGGGCTGTACCTACCCCCACCCAGCAGGGATTTTGCCTCGACCAGAGAAAACACGTGTAAACTGCCTCCTCCGAGTAGGGGCTCAGAGAACAGTGGCCTTGGTGACAGAGACTTGTGGTCATCAGCAGAGAGGCCTGGGGTCCTAGGAACCCCCGTGGGCCTTGCAGAACACAGCAGGTGAGCCTCATGCCGGAGTCACGCCCACTGAAGGGCATCTGTCTTCATAGAGGAATGGGCGCTGCACATCCAGCTCAGTTGGCTGTTTCCTGAGCACCTACTGTGGGCCCCACACGGCTTGTATCCAGGACAAACACATCTGGGGCAGGGCCCAGCCCTTCCCCCCAGGGGGACCTCAGACACCCTGGACCAGGAGGCAGGAGCTTGGATGTGAACTGATGTGGCTGAGTACTGCAGCCCGGACCATGGCTGGGGAGGCAGGAGGTGTGGGCATGGCTGGACTATGCCTGGGTCCAGGCCACACGGATGTTCTGCTCTTTATCCTGTGGGAAACGGGCACTTGGCACAGCGTTCAATAGTGAGAGCAGGATGTGTGTGTGATCAGACCTGGGGCTGGAAAAGGCCCCGAGCTACACCCATTCTCCCATCAGGCAGGCTGGAAGTGGCACCCCAGGCCTGTCATTCCCGGGCCAGCAGCCTCTCCTCATCCTCAGCCTCGCACTCCCCGGGGGTGGCACTCCCTAAGATCCTGCTAGTCCAGCCGTGGACAAACTACAGCCCGGGGGCCGGATCCGGCCCGTTTGAAATGAATAAAACTAAAAAAAAAAAAAGACCGTACCCTTTTATGTAATGATGTTTACTTTGAATTTATATTAGTTCACACAAACACTCCATCCATGCTTTTGTTCCGGCCCTCCGGTCCAGTTTAAGAACCCATTGTGGCCCTCGAGTCAAAAAGTTTGCCCACCCCTGTGCTAGTCCCTCAGATCTGCCCACCTGGCAGCTGGCACCTGGCAATGGCCCTGCCATTCCCCCCTGATAGGGTTGCCGGATTGAGCAAGTAAAAACAGGGGAGCCCAGAGAAATGGAACTTCAGATAAACAACAATAATTTTTAGTATAAGTATGTCCCGTGAAATATTTGGGACATACTTAAAAATTATCAGTTGTTTATCTCAAATTCAAATTTACCTGTTGTCCTGTCTTTCATCTGGCAGCCCTATGACTCCAGGCCGGGGGCCCCCACCCTGATGTCTGGGCAGCTGCCCCTGCCCCTCTCACTCTCCGCCTCCTGCAGAAGCTGAGTTCATGTCACCGTGGTCCTTCCACCTGACCAGTCCTGTCTTCCGCCACGCTGGCACCCAGGAGGGCAGAGCAGATTGCCGAGAGAAGGTGTGGCCCTCCTGTGGGCTCCCCTCAGGATCCCTATGCACCTCACCCCACCAATCTTTTAACATTATTTCTGTAAACATGACCTGTTAACTAATATGTGATTTCAGATAAATAGCCTGTTTGCTTAAGAATTCTAGGAACTAATTTCAAAAGAAGTGAACTGCCCTGGCCAGTGTGGCCTAGTGGCTGAGCATCATCCCATGCGTCCCGTTTGATTCCTGGTCAGGGCACATACCTGGGTTGTGACTCGATCCCCAGTAGGAGGTGTACAGGAGGCAGCTGATCAATGTGTCTCTGTTCTTTTATTTTTTCTTTTAAAAAAAACCTTTTTCTTTCCCAAATCTTGTTTTTCTTTTTAATTTTTTTATTAATTAAGTTATTACGTATGTGTCCTTATCCCCAC